CAAGGAGGGGTCGCTATGAGTCGGGTCCGTCTCAACAGCTCATAACAACAACAACAACCGGTGGTTTAACTTTCAGACAAAAAATAGACAGGCCTAGGAAGTGAACAATTACACTTGGGAGGTGTACTTATTAGATCAGCCCTGGGAGATCAGAAGGGCAGCATTTGCACAGGGAGAAAGCTCAGAGGGCAGGAGTGCAGAGGCAATAACAACACAGGGAAAAGAATAACCACAGGGAGGAACTGGTAAGAACTGTTACACTGTGAGGATTGCAATCAATGTCGTGAATCAGAATGTGTACCAACTGTTGACTGGAAAACAAATTTGCTCTGTACACTTTCACCCAAATCACAATAAAAAGTTAAAAAAAAAATTTTCTCCTTCTTGTCCTTTAATCACTTCATTCTCAAAAAGTTATTGATGTTAAGTTCACAAATATGACCATCATATTGTAGCTAAAGTACCAAAAAATTTGTCAAATCCAGGGAGTATAAAACACCAGCATCAATGAAAACAATGCATATGCACATGCATTCAAAACTGTGTGATTGCAAGCTTAAGAGATATTGACAAACTCAGTTCCAGACCACCAAAGTCAACATCACAATAAAGTGAATCACATGGATTTTTTGATTTCCTGGTGCATACAAAAGTTACGTTTACACTACAATGTAATCCATCAAGTGTGCAGTCCCATTTTAAAAAAGTTTGTACTACTGTGAGAATTATCAAAATGACACAGATACAAAATGAGCACATGCTATTGGAAAAATGGCATTAATAAACTTGTTTGATGTAGAGTTGCCACAAAACTCAATTTGTAAAAAAAAAAAAAAAAAAAAGCAAGTCTTGTAAAGCGGAATAAAGCAAAATGGAATAAAATGAGGTGTGTCTGTAATTGGATAATGATATCTCAGAGGCAAAAGTGCATTAGAAAATTCGAGAAGTAAATTAGCTAGAGTTTTAAGCCTTGTAGGCAGTGGTGGATTACCCAATAAGCAACCCCGTTAAGCACAGGATTCTTTGTGCTTACTTAGTAATCTATAGGGAACCGTTTCACATGGGTTTCACAAGTGAAACGGTTCCCTGCAGATTAGTAAGCACAAACAAAGAACCCTGTGCTTACCTCACTTACTGGGTACTCCTTCCTGTCAGGGACTGTAAATTTGAAAACAGGCTTTGATTCTGTAGGACAGTTCTGTGGGCTTGGGACAGAGACAGATGCCAGCCATACCTAGAAACAGAATGAATGTGGTGAAACAACGTGAAATTGTTCACTAAGACTAGTAAGCGGAAGCTCTCTTTGCTTATTAGGTAATCAGACACTGACTGTAGGTATATTGATTGATACATGTAACCTGGGTTTAAGGATCTCTCGTGGCATAGTGGGTGAGTCATCTGGCTGCTAACCTGGAAGGTTTGGGGGTTCAAACCCACCAACTGGTCCGCAACAGGAAGGTGAGACAATCTACTTCCATTATGATTTATAGCCTTGGAAACCCAATAGGGGTCGCACAGAAAATGCTTTTATTGTTGTGACTAACAAAATGGATATTTTTATGAAAAATAATAAATTTCTGCTTAAACACGACACAAAAATTTTATGTATTTTGTTGATACTCTGTGACAGTCGCTCGTGCAGTCCGCAAACAGCCCCGCCCCGGCCCAGTAACACCACTAGTTAAAAGGAAAAGTGGTTTATAATCGTTAAGTTTCAGGTTCCCAAGCACCGGATATTTCCACTTAATGCGGCAAATTATGGTTTCAGAAACCCATCAGGGTGACCCTGCATGGGTTCCCAGAAAGTTCACTTACGCTCCCAAAGGCCCTGGGGCCGCTCAGCCAGTCCCCACCCGCGGGGTAAAGTAGCCACGTGCGCTGCCCCGCAGCACTGAGCGCTTCCGCGAGGCGGGGCTGGGCGGAGCAGTGGGGCGGAGAGAAGCACAGGCCGGGCGGGTTCAGATGCCGATAGAAGGAGCGGAATGGAAGGAGGGAAGGGGTGGAACAGAAGAGGAGAGGGCTGGCAGAGGCGAGGGGGCGGGGCGAGCGGAGGGGTGGGGTGCAGCGAGCTCCTGGATGGCCGCCTACCCGAAATTAGGTAGAGTATGGCTACTGTGCGCAGGCTGAGGGAGGTGCCGCGGCACTTGCTGGTCTGCGAGAAATCCAACTTCGGCCACAACAAGTCGCGCCACCGGCAGCTCATGGAAACTCACTATCACAATTACAGAGTAAGTCGTGTCGTCCCTGGGCCGGTTTGGCTCTAGTCCAGCCACAGGCCGCAAACGACGGAGAGGCTCGGGGAGAGATGGGCTTTGCTCGACCAAGCGAACCTGTCTTTGATGCACGCCTGGACCGGGCGGGATGGTGAGGCTTGGGTCCCTTGCACGGCATTCTGGGAAGCGTAGTCCCGCAGTCGTTCCTGAACTGGCGTATTGCAGACCTGGGAGGACTACAACTCCTAGGGTGCACCGGGCCTGAGACTGGAACCCGATTTGGGAGCGTGGGTAGGGCCACTATCATGGTGTGTACCTTGTGGTTACCCAATCCTCCCTGGCGGAGTCGACACACCAGGAGCGATGTGAGAGGCCTCAGAAGCAGGGAGTTCCAAGCGTGTGATGCCTGCACTGTGCAGCCGCGTGTTGGCCACGTGCTACTCGCTTTTACCCAACATCTGGCGTCCGACTTCCTCCTGCCCACCGCTGTTTCTCTCAGCAGCTTGATTTTTTTCTCACAGCCGCATATCTGTGGATCTTTTAATCAGGCCCAGTTCGATTATAGAAGCGACTTGCTTTTATAAACTGTCTATGAGAACCGGATTGATGATGTATGAGAAACTGTCAGTTGTACCTGCCTCTCAGTTTTCTCCAGCCACAGTGCACCATTTCCGCAGCTCTTGGGGAGAAATTCCCTGTCGTTGGCTCACAGGCGCAACTTTAGAGCTGTTACGGATGGTAACATCGTTGCATCACGAAAATGTCATGCTCTTGGGGTAACATTTCCACAGATGTGGTCGTTGAGGCGCTGGTGAGGTTAATTCTTAGAGGATCTGCCGAAAGTAGAGGAGAACCATTCCAGTTCCCAGGCACTGACTAGTGGGCCCTTCTCACCAACTCATTTAAGTGAAGCCTCCAAAAAGTCAACTTTTGGGTAATAATGGTTTAAACATTTTGCATTTTAAATTTAATCAACCTATGGGAGAACAGTGTGGAACAAAACTCAAAATCATTTTTAAAAAGGGGAGCCAGGTTTGCTGATCTGATGGAACCCCTGAGACTTTGGCCACCAGCTGCCCTTCAGGTCTGGAATGGAACCCATTCCTGTGGCTGTCAGCCAAACAAAAGACAGGCATATGAGCTGAACATTTATATTAGGTACTCATTGGAGAGCTCAATCATGGGAGAACATAGAAGGGCTATGTATGCACAGGGAGGCAGCCTTGTGGGGCGGCAGGAGTATATGGGAGGGAAGGACACAGGGAAGAGGTTAACTATGGGGAAGAAGTGGGAAGAGAGCTGTTGCATTGTGGGAAATTGCAGTCAATGTCATGAGACAGAGCTTATGTGGACTGCTGCATGAAAAATGAATTTGCTCTGTAAACTTTCACCCAAATCACAACAAAAGTTAAAAAAAAAAATTTAATCAACCTAATGGTGATGTAAGGAGCTCTAGTGGTATAGTGCCTAAGGCATTTGACTGCAAACTTGAAGGCTGGCGGGTCAAATCCACGAGCCACTCCTTGGAAGGAAGGTTGGGCAATTTACTTCCGTAGTGACACTGTCTCGGAAACCCAAGGAGGCATCGCTATGAGTGGGATCCAACTCGAGGGCACATAACAACAACAACGGTGATGTAGTGCCTAAGGCATTTGACTACTAACCACAAGGCTGGCGGTTCAAACCCACCAGCCACTCCTTGAAAGGTTAGGCAATCTACTTCTGTGGACGTACCACCTGGGAAACCCAAGGAGGGGTTGCTATGAGTTGGATCCCACTCAAGGGCAGTGGGGCAGTGAGTTTTTTCTTTATTTTTTTTAAGTCACAATTTAGGCCTGACTGGACAGTTTCTCAGAGATGTTGACCCTGATCCCTCAGGGACAGACTGTAGTTACAGCTTAGGCAGAGAGGTTTTCAAGTTGTGGAGCACCTGAACTTGGCAACATTTGAAACCTTTCAGGTTCTAACATCTCTGCTTTGGGTGGAAAGCTCATCAAAAATAGCATGGTCTGTTTAGTGTAGAAAATGGAAACATCCAGGAGCACTTTTGCTTCTATGTATCATTTTAATAGGGAGCTCTGGTGGCGTAGTGCCTAAGGGGCTTGACTGCTAACCAGAAGGTTGGCAGTTCAAACCCACCAGCCACTCCTCAGAAGGAAGGTTGGGCAATCCACTTCTGTAGTGATATTGCCTCAGAAACCCAAGGAGGGGTCGCTATGAGTCGGGTCTGACTCCATGGCACATAACAACAACAACAACATCATCATTTTAATAATTGGATGTGCTTAAATTCCTTATACTTTAGGTTACAGTTCTTTTGAGGATATTGCCAGGGTAAACAAATCCCAGTATATCTAATTGTATAGGTCCTTAGATGGTCCTGGGTGGTACAAACAATTTGGTAGTTCAAACTCATTCAGTGATGCTGTGGAAGAAAGACCAGGCAATCTGCTTCCGTAACAGTTACAGCCAAGAAAACTGTGGAGTTTTTATGCAGTTCTTCTCTAACATATGGGACCACCTTAAGTGGGAACTTACTCAACAGCAGCTTATAGATTATATGTCCTTGAAAATGAATTAAAGTACTAAACAGGAAATAAAATATATTGCTCATTTGCAAAAGATAAAAGTTTTGTTAAACTTCTCTGCTTGGACTCTCCTATACTGTATGTTTGAATGCAGAAACAAACTTTAGTTGTCAGATTTCTCTTTCCCTAGGATTTGTAAATTAACTTACGCATTTTTTTTTTTTGGCCCATATTTGTGTTCTAGGGAAAACTGTGTAGGAGTAGTTAGTAACTTTCATGAACTTATTTCATCCCTAACAATTCAGATGTTAATCTACATGAAAATAAGATCATGTTTATATTATACATTCCAATAGGTTTCGTTTTTGATTCCTGAATGTGGGATACTATCGAAAGAGCTGAAAAGCCTGGTAATGGAAATTGGACCCTATTACTTTGTGAAGAATTTACCTCTTCATGAATTGATTTCACATGAATTCATCAACACCTTTGTAAAGAAAGGTAAGGAAAACTGATGTCTTAATCTGGGAAGGTGGGGAACTATAGGTAAAACACATGGTAGTACTAGGGTTCTTCTCTTGTTTCAGTTATGGACTGTGGTGACTGTCAGTGTGGCCAGGTGCCCGCAACACTCTCCTCCACCCCAGTATTTTCATCACACTCTTTTCCTTTAGATGCTGGTTTCTGACTACACTTTTCCACAGTGTTGGATGAGATTTAGCAACATGAGGGTAATAGTCATCCTAATGGAGGAAGGATTAATGTAGAACATCTGGCACTCTGTCTGTTCAGTTCACTGCTGTTGGGTATGTGACTGCCGAGGCCACTGTGTCTTGAGCTATCTCAAAGGATACTCTCCTCTGGTCACCACAGCTGCAGTTCACAGAGCCAAGTATTCATTGTGATGTGGTGTCTTAGATTTTGTGGCTCTAATCCTTCTTTCCTTATCCCATTCCTAGTCATATCTACTGGGCTGATTGCTCTCTTCTGGTTCTTTGGGCTTCCTAGGCCCCTGACGGCCATTTGTTTGGCACTGTATTTCAGAAAGTTTTTATAGGAGTCCCTAAGTTGTACAGATGGCTGCTAAGGAAAAGGGTAGAGGTTTGAGTCCACCTGAGATACCTTGGAAGAAAGACCTGGTGATCTACTTCTGAAAAATCACCCTTTGAAAACTCTATGGAGCACAGTTCTACTTTGACACACATGGGGTCACCAGGAGTAGGAATTGATGGCAACAGACTTTTTTTAAGGGGGTCTGGTCTCAGTACATAAGTCACCCCAATTGAGCTCCCTGTACAGTAGTCCTTACTTCCCTTGTTGTCAGCCCCTACGCTTGTCCTCTCCAACAGAACTATGAAGAATTCTATGTCTGGTAGCTGCTTTCATTCTGATGCTACTGGGACTGCTTAAAAAGCAGGGCAACAAGATCTTACAGACATTATTTTTTCATCTGCATTAAACTTTGGTATTCCTTTTTTTTTTCCCTCCTCTATTTGTTTTTCTTTCTTTTTTTTTTTTTTAAATTGTGATTTGGGTGAAAGTTTACAAAGAAAATTCACTTTCCCTACAGCAATTCACATACACTTTGTCTCATGACATTGACTACAATTTACCACAATGCAACAGTTCCCCTTCTACTTCCTCCCCATAGTTACCTCTTCCCTGTGTACTTCACTCCATGCTCTCCTGCCCCCTGAGCTGTATCCCTGTGCACACACAGCTCTTCTATTCTCCCATGATTATTTTCTCCAAGGAGTGTATCTACCTAGTGTAAATGTTCATCTCATATGCCTGTCTCTTGTTTGGCAGAAAGCCACAGGTATGGGTTCAATTCCAGACCTGAAGGACAGCTAGGGGCCTTAGTCTCAGTGGTTCCATCTGGCTCTATAAGACCAGCAAACCTGGTCCCCCCCTTTTTTTCCCAAATGATTTTGAGTTTTGTTCCACATTGTTCTCCCATTCTATCCAAGATCTCCTACATAGATCACCCTCTGAGAGGTTGACAGTGGTAGCTGGGCACCATCTAGTTCTTCTGGTCTCATAGTAGTATAGGCTGAGGACTGCATGGTGTACCAGTTGCTTGAACTAATTGTTTCCATGAATCTTTGTTTTTCTTCATTCTTCTTTGCTGTGGACAAGGAGAGACTCGTCGTTGCATCTAGAGGGCTGCTTGCAAGCATTTAAGATCCCAGTTGCTACTCAGCAAAGTAGGAGGTGGAACAATGTTTCATGAAGTATGTTATGCCAGTTGAGCCTGATGCCCCCTGTGGCTATGGTCCCGAGCCCACAGGTCCAACTACTCGCTCCTGGTAGCTGTCTGTGCCAAAGAGTTGACTACAACCTTGTCCCTTGTCAGCTCTACTATATACTTGTAATTCTTACAGAATATAGTAATACACTTGTAGAAACATTGTCTGCCAACCCTATACATGGTCTTGGGCACACTCCCCCTTGCATAGACATACCTAATAGTTCAGCCTGTCCACCCATCTATCCACCCATATATCCGTGTTTGCCTTCACTGACAACATAGTACTGTATGTGCAGAAGGGTTCATCTTTGTTGTCTGTACCTCCCACGTACCACTCTATGTCTTCCTCTTCCTCACTGCTACCTTGTTGATCACTAATATTTGGTACATTACCCTTCTATTCACACAAATCACTACTTACCTCCACCTGTCTAACAGTGTTCCTTCCCCTCTCCTCCCACTCTTGGTAACCAACAAAGAAAATTTCCTTCCATATATAAACCTTTCCTTGACTTTTTATAATAACGGACTAATACAATATTTGTCCTTCTGTGATTTGACTTATTTCACTCAGCATAATGTCCTCCAAATTAATCCATGTTATGTGGTGTTTTGCAGATTCTGCATTATTCTTTTGGGTTGCATAGTATTCCATTGGGAGCTCTGGTAGCATAGTGGCTAAAGGCAATTGACTGCTAACCAGAGGGCTGGTGGTTCAAATCCACCAGCAACTCCTCGGAAGGAAGATGGGGCAATCTACTTCCGTAGTGATACTGCCTCGGAAACCCAAGGAGGGGTCGCTATGAGTCGAGTAGTGATACTGCCTCAGAAACCCAAGGAGGGGTCGCTATGAGTCGAGTCCGACTCAACGGCACATAACAACAACAACAACAACAGTATTCCATTGTGTATATGTACCATAGTTTGATTATCCATTCTTCAGTTGATGGACACCTTGGTTGTTTCCATCTTTTGGCTATTCTAAATAGTGCTGCAACAAACATGGGTGTGCATATGTCTGTTTTTGTCCTGACTCTCAGTTCTTTAGGATATATACCTAGTAATGGAATAGGTGGGTCAAATGGTATTTCTAATTCCAGCTTTTTAAGTGGTTTGGGTGGTTATTGTAAATGTAAATTTAATTTTTAGAAGTTCCCATTCATCTAGTTTCTCTTAGGCTGTTTCTGCAACTCTCTATCTCTTGAGTGGTGCATTTAATCCATTAACATTCAGTGTAATTATTGAAAAGTATGGATTGGTTGCTATCATTTTGTTACGTGTTTTTTCATGGTGTTCCTGGTTTCTTTGTTCCATATTATTTTCTGTGCTGGGCTCATTATGTTTATGAATTGTGTTATCATTTCCTTTGTTGCTGTTGTTTTATTATTTGCTGAATGTTTGTGCTTGTCCTCTTTTTTATTGTGATGTGCAGGTTTATCATTTTTCTTTGAGGTTACCCTGTGATTTGTAATTTTTTCCCCGAGTTTAGAACAGTCCATTCTGTCTTGCAACTCTCTTGACTTCCTCACCATTTAGAAGTTCTGTAACTACACATTACTTTCCCTCTTCTGGTTTGTAGTTGTCCTTAATTGCCAATTGATGTATCTGGTTCCCTGTTTACAATTTTGTAAGCTTACTTTACTTGGATATGTCCATAGCTGTGGTTTTTGGGTTACATCATCTTGTGTATTAATGGTCGGTGGTTGTCTGCTATTATTGGTATCCTGTTCAAAGGACTCCCTTTAGTATCTCCTGTAAGGTTGGTCTGGTTTTAAAAAATTCCTTTAGTTTCTGCTTATCTGGAAATCTCCTAATTTCACTATCTTATTTGAGGAACAATTTTGCCGGATATATCATTCTTGGATCGAAATTTTTCTCTTTCAGGGTTTTATATGTGCCATCTCGCTTGCATGGTTTCTGCTGAAAAATCAGAGCTTATTCTTACTGGCTGTCCGTTGTAAGTAACTTTTTGTTTTTCCTATGCTGCTTTCAGGATTCTTTCTTCATCTTTGGTTTTGATGGGCTTGATGATGATATGTCTAGATGATTTTCTTTTGGTGTCTATCCTGTTCGGGGTTCATTGGACTTCCTAAATGGATATATTCTCATCTTTTGTCATATCAAGGAAGTTTTCTTCTAACAAATCTTGGACAATTTTCTCAGTGGTTTTATTTTTCTCTTCCTGTTCTGCAATTCGAATGACACATAGGTTATTCCTTTTGATGATATCACACATGTACCTTAGGCTTTTTTCATATGTTTTGATCTTTTTCTGATTGATCCCTTTCTCAAGACGTTTTCAAGTATTTGTCTTCAGTCTCTAATTCTGTCTTCCATTGCATCCATTCTACTCCTTTGCCCTTTCAATGTGTTTTCTATTTCTGAAAATTTAGTATAGTATTAATCTTTTGGATTTCTATCTGTAGATTTTGAATCATTTCTAATTTTTCATTTATTTTGTCATTTTGTCCTTTTATTTTCTTCTGAAATTGTTCTAGGGTTTTGTCTGTATTTTCCTTTATTTTGTCAGTGTTTTTTCTTGATCTATCTCTCAGTCCTTTGAAGATACCTAAGTATAATTCTTTTGAATTCCTTAACAGGGAGTGCTTCTTCCTCAGGGATGTGTTCTGGATCTATAACCTGTTCCCTTATTTCTACTGCTTTATCTTGCTTGTGTGGGTTATGATGGTCTGTTGTCTCTGAGACATTGTGACGTTGTTGTATTTAGAACTCTGTTAACTGTTTGTGAAGAGCAGTTAAGGGTGAGTCAGGTTTTTCCTGGTGGTTGTTTATTGTTGGCCAGTTGGTAGAGAAGGAAGTGGTGGTTCTCACTCTGTAAGTGAAGCTGCAGGAGGTGTGGGGGTAGTTGTGGCGTATGGGCATTATTGCTGTCTCCCAGTCAGTTAGACAAAAATAACAAATAACCATCAACAAAGTAAAAGCAAGTGGACAAAAAACATAGCATGTAATCACACAGGAACAATAACCAAAAAAATAAAAGAAAAAAACCCCGCAATATCTGGGGAGAGGGCAATATGAGAATAAAGGTAGAGTAGGAGAATATTGAAGAAAAGAATGGGAAAAATGCAAAAAGTAAAACAAGGAATGAGGTTAACCACGAGAAAGAAAAAAATGGGAACCAGGAACAGGGAAGAGAGAAAAAGCTGGAAACTTGAATCTCAGAAGGGAAGAATAAAGAATAATAATAAAAAGGACAATAATAATAGTAATAATTTTAAAACAAGCAAAA